ACAGAACAAACAGTTTCTCATTAAACGGTCAGTACACATACTGTTTTATGACATTGGTTAACAACCCCATGACATGTCAACACTCTCCCTTCTTAACCTTGGAGGACCTTTTTTTTTTTTTGGTGAAAATATACATAGCCAAAGATACACCATTTCAAAAATTTCTACATGTATAATTCAGTGACATCCATTACGTTCTTCCAGTTGTCTGCTATTCTCACTTTAGATGAAGGTTTATGGAACAAAATAGTTTCTCATTAAACAGTTAGTACACATATTGTGCTATGACAGTGGTTAGCAACCCCACTACATGTCAACAGTGTCTTTACTCAACCTTGGGTTCCCTATCACCAGCTTTCCTGCCCCCTTCTGCCTTCTAGCCCTTGTCCCTGGACTGCTGTGCCTCATTTGCCCTGTTTTGTTTTATGGGGCTGTCCAGTCCTCGGCTGAAAGGTGAACCTCGGAAGTGACTTCACCACTGAGCTAAAAGGGTGCCTGGGGGCCATACTCTTGGGGTTTCTCCAGTCTCTGTTAGCGAACTGATTTCTTGAAGTCTGAAAACTCATCTGGCAAGCCATCCGGGCATGGCATTTGCTTTGTGGCAACAATTTTAAATTACTGCTTTATTTTTTTCAAACTAGTTATTTGACAGTTCTCTCAATTTCATATTGAGTCAGTTTTAGTGAGTTTATATTTTTGAGGAATTTCTCCAATTTGCCTATAATTTATAATTTATTGCCATAATGTTGATAGTATTCTCTTACTAATCTTTACTGTATTATGTAATATGTCCCTTTCTTCATTAATAATATTATTTATCTTTTCTCTTTGTTCTCTTAAGCACTCTAGCTTACCCTCACCCCAGATTCAGAACAACTCATAATCTTCCCAGGAGTTTCTCACTTCTGTTGTTATTATTATTTCCTCTATTCTATGTTTCCTTCTGTAGTTTTTTTCTCCAGGACTAATTTTGGGGGTACTCATTGCCACTGGGACGATTCTGGCTTATAGCGGCCCTATAGGACAGAGTAGTACTGCCCTTATAGAGGTTCCAGGGAGCACCTGGTGGATTTCAACTGCTGACGTTTTGGTTAGCAGAGGTAGCTCTTAACCACTGCATCACCAGGGTTTCTATTTTGGGGGGTGGGTAGGAGTCAGAAATCTCTCCCCTAAAATTTACCAATTGGCAGGAATCAGAATCCTTTACATAGAATTTAGCAATTTAGGCTCATAAATCTTTTTCTTTTTTTAATTTATTGTTGTAGAATATATATAACAAAAAAATTGCTATTTTAATTATTTTTAAGTGTACAATTCAGTGACATTAATTACATTCACCATGTTGTGCAGCCATCACCACTATTATGGATTGAATTGTGTCTCCCAAAAATATGTGTTGTAAATCCTAACCTCTCTGCCTGTGGATATAATCCCATTTGGGAATGGATTGTCTTGTTATGCTAATGACATAGGATTAGTGTAGAGTGTATTTTGAGTTAATCTCTTTTGAGATGTAAAAGAGATGAAACAAGCAAGCTAGCAAGCAGAGATGGGGGAAGATTGCTGCCAAGCCACGTGAAGATCACCCAGGAGCAGAAGCTCAAAGAGACAAGGACCTTCCTCTAGAGCTGACAGAGACAGAAAGCCTTCCCCTAGAGCTGGCGCCCTGAATTCAGACTTCTAGCCTCCTGAACTGTGAGAAAATAAATTTCTGTTTGTTAAAGCTACCCATTCATGGTTTTTCTGTTATAGCAGCACTAGATAACTAAGTCAACCACTCCCTGTTTTCAAAA